CAGTCCTCCAGTAAAGTCCACATCCCCCAGCCTCTCCACACAGCTCTGTGGTACTGCTCTGGGATCACGGAGACCATGGTGCAGACCCCCGTGCCCCTCATCCAAACTCATGTTCGGGCCACATTCCAGGGCCTCGCCCTGCCCAGGGAGGGAGCGGGGTCTGGGCAGGGATGCCCGTGGCAAGGAGTGACTGGACAGTGCCCATGGAGCACGCCAGGGGTGGCCTGGAGGGAACAGCGAGCAGATGGCAGGGCGGGCCGAGTTGACAATCCCCTAATCCCATCAACGCCGCGGGGGCTGAGCAGAGCCGAGCTGGGCCATGGCGGGCACACGGGCACACGGGCATCTCCTGCACCCGCTGCTCTTCCAGGTGGGACCTGGGGTCTGTCTGGGCTGGGAGCACGGCTGGGAGTGAGGCTGGGTGGGTAGAGTGCGCTGAGCCAGGCTGGGAAGTAGTGCTGGCCCCTTGGGGTCCCCAGTGACCATGCCCCTCCCCAGGTCTGCTGCGGTTGTCACGGGCTCCGTGTGTCCACGAGCACGCGTATCCTTTACACGCTCCTGCATGTCCTGGCCTCTGCCGTGTGCTGCCTCATGCTGTCCCGCACTGTGGCCCAGGCTATCACGGAGAAGGTGACGAAGGGAACCGGGACACCCTGGATACTGGGAGTATTGGGGGTCCCATGGGTGCTGGGGGTCTCAAGGGTACCATGAGTTCTGGGGGTACTGGGGTGCCAGGCACTTCAGGGGAATGCAGGGGAACCCTGGGTATGCCAGAATTGCCAGGGGCATCAGAAGTACTGGGATTCTGAGGATACTGGGATACTAGGATAGTAACAGGGCTGCTGGGAGTGCCAAGGGTGCTGGAAGTGCCAATGGGGAAGGGGTGTCAGGGGTACAGAGATGCAGGGTTTGCCTGGCTTGCTGGGGGTCCCAGGGTACTGAGGAGGGTATTTGGAATGGTGGGAATATTGAAAGTTTGGATGTGCTGGATGCTGTGGGCGCTGGGGGATGCTGGGTGGACACACCAGCAGCCCTGTCCCATCAACCACCGTGCCCACCAGGTGCCCTTCTCAGTGGTGCTGTGCCAACACCTGCCAGGGGGCACAGACTGTGAGCAGCTGGTGGGTTCCTCGGCCGTGTATCGGGTCTGTTTTGGTACTGCCTGCTTCCACCTGGCACAGGCTGCCCTGCTGCTCAACGTGCGCTCCAGCTCCGACTGCCGTGCGCAGCTCCACAATGGGTAAAGATGGGCCATGGGGCTAGGACAGGGTGTCCTGGGATGGGATTGCCCTGGGGTGGGGCTGTCAGGGGCTCTGTCCTACTGATGTTAACTGTCCTGCAGGTTCTGGCTCCTGAAGCTGCTGGTGCTGGTGGGCCTCTGGGCCGCCAGCTTCTTCATCCCTGAGGACAACTTCATCCAAGGTGTGTCCCCCACCCTGTCTGAACTGGCACTGTGGGCACCCCTTTTGGCCCCCACCTGCCCTGCGCTATCTCTACCTCTGCCCTCTTCCCCCAGCCTGGCACTACATAGGTGTCTGTGGGGGCTTTGCCTTCATCCTCATCCAGCTGGTGTTGATCACAGCCTTTGCGCACACCTGGAACAAGAACTGGTGAGTGTTGGGGTGCTGGGTGGGTACTTGCCCACTGCCACTGCTTATCCACTCTTCCACAGGCTGACAGGTGCTGCACAGGACAAGCGCTGGTATCTGGCCGTGCTGCTAGCCACGGCCACCTTCTACACCCTTGCCTCTGCCGCCTTCTCCTTCCTCTACAAGTTCTACACCCACCCAGCCGCCTGCCATCTCAACAAAGCACTGCTTGCCATCAATGGCAGCCTCTGTGGCATCATGTCCTTCATCTCCATCACACCATGTGTGCGGCTCAGTGAGTATCACAGCACAGCATGGTGAGGGCTGCCATGCTGCATGGCCAGCTGTGTCCTGGGCTGGGGATGACTGTGGGCCCCAGCTTGGGGTCAGCACTTGGGCACTGGAGGAGAACCCAGCTCCCCAGGGTTCCCACTGGCCATTCCTGTACCTTGGTGCAAGGCACTGGACAGGCGAGTGGCAGGAGGGGACTGCCCAGGGCCCACCCTGAGCCCCACCCACCAGACACTCCAGGCATCCATCAAGGCACTCCAGGAACTCCAGTAATAAACACCTCTGTCCCCACTCTTGCAGAGCAGCCGCGGTCAGGGCTACTGCAGTCCTCAATCATCAGCTGCTATGTGATGTACCTAACCTTCTCCGCACTTTCCAGCCGTCCCCCGGAGAGAGGTGGGTGTCCCTGTCCACCACCAGCAGTCCCCACATGATGCGTGCCCATCTCACCTCCACCTCCCTGCAGTGCTGTACAAGGGGCAGAACCTCACTGTCTGCTTCCCGGGGGTTCGGCAGGATGAGCTGCAGACTGAGGACACCACCGTCGCCGTGCTGGGCGCTGCTATCATGTATGCCTGCGTGCTCTTTGCATGGTGCGTGTACCCTGCCCAGGCACAGCCAGCCCAACCGGCACCACATGGGGTTACAGGGGTGTCCTGAGGGGTGGCAGGACAAGAGCAGGTGGGACATTGGTGGGTGGACAGCAGAGCTCCTGTGGCCATTGGGAATCCATGGGGCAGGCTGGGAGCCCAGCACAGGGTGATGGCTGCCTGTGTTATGATTTCTGCCTCTCTCCTGGGCACAGCAATGAAGCCTCATACCTTGCTGAGATCTTTGGACCCCTCTGGATGGTCAAAGTCTACAGCTTTGAGTTTAAAGTGAGTAGTATGGATGCAGCTGTGCTCCATGTCCTCCTGCTACAGGCACCCCAGACCCACCACCTCAAGGCTCTGTCCCAGCCCCAGAGAGGGGCAGGTCTGTCTATTACACACACCACTTGCCCTGCCATCAGACAGGGCTCAGCCTTGGTGGCCACAGGGCTGGGCAGTCACCACCCGCTCTCCCTGCAGAAACCTTCCTGCTGCTTCTGCTGCCCTGAGAAGATGGAGGAGGAGCTGAGAGGTGAGCGCAGTGTCTGTGTGGGAGAGTAGGCAGAGCCCGTGTCCCAGCCTGGCAGTGCCAGTGAGGGAGGGCTGCAGGATCTGCCATGCCCCCACATTCTTCCAGGCACCGACCAGACATGTGAGCAAGTAGAAGAGAATGCCAAGGGACAGTTCATCATCCAGGATGAACAGGACCGGGTGGTCTACAGCTACTCAGCTTTCCACTTTGTCTTCTTCCTTGCCTCGCTCTATGTTATGATGACACTCACCAACTGGTTCAGGTAGGACTCTACTGCTGCCCAGCACTCCCTAATCTCACTCTAAACCTCTGTGCCGGGCAGTGATGGTATCACCTAGCTGGCATCTGCTGGGGATGCTCAGGGCTCTGTGCACTGCTCCAGTGGCAGCTGTGCAGCACAGTGAGAAGGGCTGGACGGGCCGTGGCAGAAGGGACATGCCATGGGGCACGTGGCCACTGGGACACAGGGTGACCTGGTGGCTGCAGCTGGCACTGGAGTCCCCTGTGTTGGCATCCCTTGGGCACCAGTGCCTGCCCTCTCCCACCAGCTATGAGAATGCGGTGCTGGAGACCACCTTCACACACGGGAGCTGGTCAACCTTCTGGGTGAAGGTGTCCTCGTGCTGGGCTTGTGTCCTGCTCTACTTGTGGCTGCTGCTGAGCCCCTTCTGCCTCCATGGCTCCCCACAGCACCGTCGCAGCAGTACAGGGCCACGCATCGTGCGGCGCCGACGTACTCCACAGCGCATCAATGTCTCCACATAGTCCCTGCCAGGACAAACTGTGCCCAGGACTGGTCCCTGCCGTGCCCTGGCCCTGCTTGGTCCTCCTGGCCTCCCCTCACCCCCTGTCCCAAGAGACAGCAGCATCCAAGAGCTGAGGGGAACATGGGAGGTGGATGCACCCAGGGATAATGGCCCTGTGCTGAGCCAGGGCCACCTGAAGGGCCAGAGCAAGCTGGTGGCAGGTGCTCAGCCCACAGCCTGGTTGCCCTGGCCCCACTGGGTGCACTGGGGGAGCAGAGCTCTGCCATGGCAGCCACTGCTGTGGTGCATTCACTGTAAATACCCCCTTAAATACATTTTTATAATAAACTCTGAACCGAGCCTGTGCCAGCTGCTGCCATGGGGATGAGGAGAGGGGGTGCTTGCAGCACCCGGGCATTGGCCACGCAACAGCCACAGCTGAGGACACCTTCAGGGTGGCTCTGCCAGAGGCAGGGACAAGCAGGGGGTGCAGAACAGGGGACAGTGCTCAGCAATCATGGCAGGGCAGCTCCCAGCACAGCAGCGTGGGGCTGCAGCACGCACTGTGCCCAACAGGCCCCGCACTGGTGGTGGTGGTGGGTGCGGGACAGACTGACACACATCACCAGGGTGCCCACAAGGCTGGCACAGCCTGGGCATACAGCGAAGCAGGAGGTGAGGGAAGGGCAGCACCGTGGGTGAGTGCTATTGGGGTCCAGTTGGTCCCAGTGCAGCAGCAAGGCAATTGTGGGGTCTCTGACTGGAGCAGCAGAGCTGAGGGACTGCAGTGCCCAGTGCCCTGGGGCTGCCCCTCACACCTCTCCACCTCAGGAGGAGATAAGGGCACACATGGGGGGCTCAGGGAAGGGCAGCTGTGGCACCATCTTGGAGACATCAAACAGGTAACGCTGGAGTGGGGGTTCCTGGCAGCCCCCATCACCCAGGGGCTCTCCAATGCTCTGGGCCATGCCCCAGTGGGGTTTCCCTGCCTCACCCCACCCAGAAGACTGGGCTGAATGCATCTCCCACAAAGGCTGAAAGGGCTGGGGAGGGAACTTCAGCGGGTCCAGCAGCACAAGAGGTGGCACTGAACGTTCCTCCTAGCAGGGGTGGACTTCCAGATCAAGCAGCTTCTGGTGGATGGGGAGCAAACCCCATTACAGATCTGGGACACAGCTGGGCAGGAGAGCTGAGAGCACAGGGCCAGGAGGCCCAGGACTGTGGCAGGGTTCCAGCAGCAGCCCCACAGCAGCCAGTCACCACATCAGCAGCAGTGACAGCCCCATCATTTGGTACTGGAGCATCAACTCATCCTACTTGCTACTCCTCCACATCAGCTCCCTGTGCACCTTCCTCAGCATCCACCAGTGGGATTGAGGACATCAGGGTGGGAAGGGTAAAAGAGACACCCAGCCCCCAGAAGAGGGGCAGAAGCCTTGACAATTTCAGGGGGGTGGAATTTGCTGTACCCCAAACTGTCCTGGGGAACAGGAATAAGGCAGGCAGTGACTGGGCTACTGCCAGGCAAGGGGAAGCCCCCAGGAAAAGTGAGAGTGCTTCCCCCAACGTTTTCCCTTTTCCTGGTGTTTCTATCAGGCCTGGGACTGCATCTGGCTCCCAGGCCCAGCACAGGCATGATGGGAGGCAGCCAATGTGGCCACAGGCTGCCAGCCCCAGAAAGCCCCATGCCACTCTTCTATCCTGCAGGACATCGAGCAGTCACAGCCACTGATGCTGGTGGGGAACAAAATGAATCTGCAGCCTGGCCTGGCAGAGGGGTCCACACAGACCACAGGCAGCTGGCCATGGTGAGCAGCAGCTCCTCAGGGCCCCCGGCGTAACCAGGGCCCCACTGACACCCACTACCAGCCCCAGGCCCACGGCTGCCTGTTCAAGGCCAAGGACGGCCACCAAAGCGGTGGATGCGGTGCTGCATCTCGCTCGGTGAGGAGCCCAGGCTGGCGCGGGACCCGTCCCCGTGCTGCCGCCATCATTCTGCCCCTGCAGGGAGGTGAAAAGGCCGATCGGCACCTGCATTAGTACTGGGCTGGACCTCAT